AAGACCATCTAAACTCTTACAGGTTGCTGAGAATCTGTATCTGGGAAAAAATGGGGCTTTTTTGTTCCACCGAGAATCTGGTGCTCTGCCACGACTGCGACTGGGACGCCCACGACAGTTGTCCCTCCGTCTCCGCCTCCCACGACCGGACCTCCCTCGACGGCTTCTCCGGCTGCGAGAAACCCTCGTTCCCCTGATTTCCCAAACAAAGCGAAGGCACATTCTCCCTGCCGGAGCCGAAGGTTGTCGAGCACTATGGGATTTTCCACGGCCGGTGAATCTGGGTTCTTTACCATTTTCTGGGATTTTCGAAGGTGGCCACGGTAATTCAAGTTTTGAATTAGAGTTTTATTATTTTTTTATTATAATAAAAAATTTTCACATAATATTACATCTTAATTTAAATTAAATATTATATCTTAACTCAAATTAAAAATTTAAATTAATAAACCGGGTCTGAAAAAAAAAACTAGAGAGAATTATTGAATTATCATTAAGAGTATGAGTCTTAATTTTTATCACATATTTTTTTATTAATATCCTTTTAATTAATATAAATTTTTAATTAAAATAATATTAATTAAAAATAAATGATAAAAATTTAAAATTATACACTTTAAATAAATATTTGTCTCATTTCTTTAAAAAAATTACTTTAGATTCTTTAAAGAATCTACAGCATATCATGGAGTTTGATAATAGTTTTACCCAGTAAATTTTAAAAATTGTTGTCTAACATATAATAGTTTTACCCAATAGATTTTAAAAATTGTTGTCTAATAATAAAATTTAAGAAGTAAATTAAGGATTGTTTTGCACAGCAACTTCTACTCTCATTATTTAAGTTTACTAAATTAATCTTTATAATAAAACATAATTTTCAAATCTCAATCTAATATTTTATTTATCTGCATAACAAATAAAATATCTTTATGATGTTTAATTTTAAAGTTACAAATTCATTAATAAATGAGTAATGTTAAGGATGCAAACTCAAATCTCAACTCTCATGTACTAATTAATGTGGCATGTGAGTTGTTATCTTTTATTAGTAGATGCAATCTCTTATTATTAATTGACATGATAATGTTTTAAATATCTATCAATGTAAAAATGACAGTTCACATGTCACAATAATTGATATACAAGAGTTTAAATTTGAGTTGGTGTCCTTAAATCTGTTCCACTTCAGAAATAGTATGACCAGATTTTGATGACGGCTTATCCAGTTAGGTAACTCCTCTAGACGCCCTGCCAAGTACAGCCTTTGAAGAGATTCGGGCACGAAGGAAACATGACGAAGATCGATTATGTTGTCCTTATCTTCCAAAGTGATCGATAATGAGGTGAGTTTGGTGAGCTTTTCGATGGAAGAACGCAAGGAGACACCATATTTTTCCCTAAACTTTATGATGCCTAGCCTCCTTAGCTGACTCATTTTCCCCAGCTCTGTGATTATAGCACTGTTTTCTGCCTCAACAAAGCAGCGCTTTTGAAGCGATTGAAGATTTCCTATTCCTAAAGGGGCCTTAAAACCATACTTGGAGTCGAAATAAGCATAAGATTCGATCTCGTAGCAATACACCAGGAGATGGCGAAGTCACTTGAGGTTTAAAATTTCAGCCGACATCAGTGACATAGGCCTGTTTGAGATCCAATAGCTCTAGATTTTGAAGCTTCTTTACGGAGCCAGGAATATTTTTCCCCTTAGTACCCCTCAAGCTTAGATACCTTAGATGAAATAGCTTCACTATTTCTCTTGGGAAGATCTCAAACAATGAGACACCTTGCAAATCCAGAACCTTCAACAACCTAAAACCTCTGGGAAACAACGTGGATAACGAAAACTCTGTAAAAGAATCTTCTTCTTCTTCGACGAATACAAGCAATGAACGCAGCTTGGAAGAGATTTTGTTCTGTTCATTCTTGAGTGTGTTAACCACTGATACTTGATCTTTAGCTATCTCCGCAATTTCTTGATTCTTAGACTTCAAAATCGCAATCTCCCTTAGAATATCATGTGTTCTACATGATTTGATCCTTCCATCACTTGTTGTCCCCGCGCTAGGATTAGTCCCCAGTCCAAAAGCTCCTTCAAGTAACCCTCCGCGACTTCCTCCAACGTCTTCCCTTCTCGTTCGATCACAAAGCCTTCAGCTATCCGCAATCGAATTAGTCTCATCACATCGACGTTTTGCAAAGCCGGAAACAAGCCCAAGTACAAGAAACAAGACTTCAAGTAGTAAGGCAAGTCATTGAAGCTTAGTGAGAGCACTTTCTTCAAGCTATCAAGTTTAGAGTTTTCTTCAATCTCTGGACCAATACTATGACGAAGCACGGCAACCTCATCCTTGTTTGCCGTGTCTTTGGCGCCCCAAATCGCTCCAATCGCGACAACAGCAAGAGGTAAACCTCCACAACTCCTCAACACACCGGCATGTTTCCTCCAAATGAGAAATGCATCCAATTGTCTCGTTCCCCTTAATCGCCTTCCTAACAAACAGCTCCCAAGACTCTCTCCCCCCCAATGGCCTCAAATTGAAAACCCAATCACGGGAAACCTTGCAAGCCATAGAAGCAATCTCGGCATAACTAGTAGTGAAAACAGCTCTACTTCCAAACATTTCGTTTCGGGGCAAGGCGAGTTTGATTGAATCCCAAGCCTTGGCATGCCAAACATCATCAAGAACAATTAAGGCCTCGTTCGTTTCGCTGATTCGAGTTTAGAATTCGAGTTTTGCTACAGTAAAAAACTCTCACAAACAATCACATTTAACTTTTTTACTACAGTAAAAAGCTCACATACAATCACATCTCAACTCAAATTTTAAACTCGAATTAACGAAACGAACGAGCCCTAAGGGTATGCTTTTTGGTATGCTTTTTTCACGGTTCAAATTAAGAACTTAGTTTTATATATAAGAAAAAAAACACTATAATAAAAAAATTGAATTTAAATTTTTGTGGTAGAAAACATTATAAAAATAAAACTTTAGTCGTAAATAGAACAAAGGCCAAAATACCTACTTTCTCTCAACAAATATTTAACACTCTCCAAACCATCACTCTTCATATTATAAACTTTCAAAGGAACCTATTTTCTCGTCACTCTTAAAATCTGTTGAATCACGTCTCTTAAGAGGTCCTAGGTCTTAAACGACCGAGACACAGTGACCCAAGCATGAACTTTGAAACGTTTCTTCACTTTAAAATCCCCATAGACTTGCTACACTAGTGTCGTTTTCCCCAACCGTCCCATTCCCACCACGGAAACGACTTGTCTTCCGGAATCATTTTTCACTCACCAATCAATCAATCATTAGAAAAAGAAAATTTTCATATTGGTACCGTATTTTATAGCAAAATTTTCTTTTAGTACAATGTATTTTTAATAATTTTAAATTAGTATCATGATTTTTTGAAAAATTATTTTTCAGTACTATGAATATCTTTTTTAGAACATAAAATGTCAAATATGCCCTTATACATAAAAATACTTTGTTGACCATAATTAATTAAAACTAAAACGTTTTTTTTTTCTTAAGAAGAATGCCCATTCTTGCTTTCAAACATCACTACAATTTTAATTTAATTAATTCCGGTCAACAAAGTAGTTTTAATTTTAATTAATTCTGGTCAACAAAGCAATTTTATGTATAAGGGCATACTTAACATTTTATGTGCTAAAAAAGGGGCTCATGGTACTAACAAACGATTTCCCAAAAGGTTAGCATACCAATTAAAATTATTAAAAACACAGTATACCAAAAGACAATTTCACTATAACACAGGGCACCAATATAAATTTTTCCCTTAATAAAATTCTCTTCTTTTCCTTTTTGGATAATTCTCATATTTCAAATTTTAAATAACAAAAATCAACGTTGCTGCTATATAAATTCATAATTTTGCATATTTTGAACTTTAATTGAACAAAGTGTTTATTTAGTTGGAGGGTTTAAACCACCTTAGTTTTAGTTCAAATAATGTTTTTCTTTATAAAAAAAAAAAATTGAAGTTAAAAAAATTTTGTTACAGTATTTTCTCTCACAAAAAATTTGAATTTAAAAAGTTTTTCTTCCGTATTTTCTATTAGAAAATCTAAATTCTACTTCAAACCACTTAGTTTGAACCCACCTTCCAAACATACTCTAAATTACATGCTTATTATAATTTGAAAGAAGAATTAAAAGATACAAACACATAAAAGAAGGTAAAAGAGAAAGAAAGAGTTAGAAAATAAAAAAAGAAATAAATAAAAAAAAAGAATACAGTGGCACTAGTAGTTTCGTTCAAAACTTTGGCTTAATTCATGCCTTGAAAATAAAAAAAGAAAAAAAAATTCTGCCTCCACCACTGTCTTCTGTTTTATTGCTTAGTTTTATTTTGTAGGTAGTGCGTGTCTAGCCAAGCACACTATCAGTAGAGCTCAATGAATGAAATGACTTATATTTATAAGTTTAAATAAAAAAATTAAATTTTATGAAAAAATAAACACTATAACAAAAAAGTTTAAATAATAAATTCATAATTTTGCATATTGAACAAAGTGCTTGTTTGCTGTTATCATCTGAATTAATGAGATTATTTCCATTCTTGGAACATTTCTTAGCTTCCAATAAGAGAGATCATTTTAAACCATTCCTCTCTTCCACTATGTTAGTTAAGAGATATGGAAAACAGGACGAAATACATGGGAAAAAAAAAATAAAAATAAAAAAACGAGAAAAAAAGTATTCCTTATTAGTTAGTGCAATGCACTTATCAATGTTGTAAGATTGGAAATTTCAACATTCTGGAATTTTTAGAAAACATTCTTCATAAGATTGGAAATTTCAACCTTCACATAAACTTTCAGACAACTTTCTTCATAATGCACTCATTTAAAAATGAATTAATACACGATTCAGGGCTTTCACAACCATAATCAAATGCAACGGTTCAGCATTACACAACAAAATTGAAAGAGAAAAACGCAAAAGCGAAAACAAATAAAAACATAAAAGAAAACTTATAATCAACGGGAATCAAAATTACACTGCATTTTCCAGCAAGGCACTCTAAAAGCTCAATCTAAATATACTGTTTGGCGGATGACTGCAAATTCAACATCCGACACACTGCTTTTCACGGATAATGTTATATTATAGAAGGCTAATTGCATCTATGACTTTTATATTTTTCTCTACTCTTCCTACTAATGAATGAGTTTAATCTCGAGTCATTATTCGTCATCAGAGTCGTTAAATGTGATCTTTTTGGACTTTGGAGCGTCCACCGAAATTTCTTTAAAATGAGCTCCATAGAGCTTAGACTCCTGCATTTTTGGAACAAATGTAAAGTAAAAACCCAGAAAGTTGTATGTATGTTATTAGAAGTTAAATGGAAGAGAAGATGCAAAAATAAAGGGAATAATGCACCTTTTTCTTTACGTGAGTGCCAAACTTCAATAGGGAATCTGGTACAATTTGCCCAGCTTCTCTGAGAACATTTACCAGCTCTCCAGCCAGTCCCTGAAACAACAAATCCCCATAATTTTTAGAATTAAACGAAAAAATACAAAAGGATGTGAAAACTCTGAATAAATTGTCAATAAAATGTGAAATTTTGTAATCATGTTTGAAAGGATTAAGGATGGCCTCGTAAAATATTACCTTGTTTTGCTGCGTGAAAAAGGTGTGAGCAACACCATTCTTTCCGGCACGTCCTGTTCGCCCTATTCGATGGACATAATCTTCTGTGGTAAGAGGAAAACTGTAGTTGATAACTACTTCGACATCTGGTATATCCAATCCTCGAGCTGCCACATCTGTAGCTATCTGCATGTAAAAAAACATATTAACCCAACATCTTACTATTGTTGCACCACAGTTAATGTCGGAAGTATCCATCCAGAAAAATTAAAAACCCCAAAAAATAATGCATTGAAATTTCTGCTCTTCCCGTATCACAAACCTCTAACCTCCTAAGTTTCAAGTGCTCAAAAGATGCACAAAAGTGAAGACTGGTGATAAATCAATCTTAATGGAATCAACCTTCATAATCTCTAAACCGATGACAAATCGATGAAATAGTGCAAAAAAGAAGGCATGAGGAAACGCATTAATCTATATCGTGTACACTGTACAGATAATTCATCTAGAATAATCAATATAATGCACAAGAGAGAGAGAGGCTGTAAGTAAAACATCCAGTGCAAGTTCATAGACATAAGAAGAGAAGCATCCACATATTTTATTGACATTGGCATTACCAAATCACCGGTGTGCTTAAAAGACAGCGCCAAAGACAATGCCAAGGATCAGTAATAGACAACATACCATCAAAGGACAGGTTCCTTTCTTGAATAACGACAGCGCCTTCGTACGTTCATGTTGTGATTTGTTACCGTGTATTGAAACAACCTTCCAACCCCTAGAAGCACAATTTTATGTGTCATTAGGTTGGACTTGGGAGGTTAGGAAACTAGTTATAGATGGTTACACCACTGTCGGAATATTTTACTAAAGGGAACATATCAAATTTGCAGTATAAAGTGAAGGAACTTACCCCTTTTGCAGCATGTTTTCAACACGAGTGGCTTCTACTTTGTACAAGACAAATACCAAAACCCTGTTCCTGATCAGAAGTAAAACTACGAGATCAGCAGGTTATAGACATAACACATCAAGAGAAACAATCCAGCAAGTGTTGGTCTTCCTCTGTGACACATACTACTATTCATCTAAACTAGAATAATTTAATGCATCTTATATAGGAATCCTATTGACCTCTAAATTCAATATAATAACTCAACTTAGCATGCAGCTTCTTCCAAGGACAGGCAAGCGCATCTGAAACCCAAAATCTAAGGCAATTTTCAGTTCTTTATTTGCACTGACAATGATTTAAAAAAAAAAGAAAAAAAAAAGAAAGAAAGAAGCACTTGGCCGGTTTTACCTACTATTGGATTTGAACCAATGACTCGCCGTATGAAAGCAATACTCTAACCGCTGAGTCAAGTAGGTCAAAATATCGCAAAAATTCAGCGTGGTTTTTATCTAAAAAGTCGGAAGGTTCCGCCAGAAAGAGTTTGGGATTAAATCGTTTGGTCAGATTTGTGGGATTTCTCCAGCAAAGCAACCAGACGTGCATCACGAGCACGGTCATCCAGAACCTATGCATACATGAGAGTAGCCAAGTTGGTATTATATTTATGTAGGCATGAACTTATAGTGGATCTGTGAGGACTTTTCATTACAAATGGTGAAAGGCAGTATGACTGTCTAAATGTTATACCTCAACTATCTGCATAACGTCATGGTTGGCGGCTAAATCCTCTGAACCTACAACAACCTGAGACAATGGTTGTTAGTATTTAATGAAGGTAACTGGTTAATGGTCATGGTAAATAAAGATCCGCACCTTAACCGGATTAGGATCCATGAACTCTTGTGCCAATTGGTGGACTAATAAAGGCCACGTTGCACTGAACATTACCATTTGGCGAGCTGCAGAGAAGACAGAAGCAGAGCTTTCAAGTCAATAGACTCAAAACAGAATAAAACTACGACTAACTTAGCCTTTAAGCAAATTTAAAATCTTATTTAAGGTGGCCTAAAACTTCATTGTGGGTTCATGTCATTTTTTTTTATTTGTTCTTGCTATCCTTTTTTTGTTTGTTTTAATGAAACAACAGATTTTTATTACGAAATATCATCAGCAGAAGTACAAATACAAAGTAAGAAAATAGAAAAAGGTGAGCAGTTTGCCACCCAACTATAATGGCAAAAATATTTCAGTTAATTTGAACTATTATCTCCTATGTCACCGATGCAATCCAAACAATTATTGATAAGAGTTTTTGCAAACTAAATAGGAAATTAGGAATTACTTAACAAATTGCATATTTATTCTCCAGTGATGGCAGTGGCAATTTTGAGAGCAATTCTTTTTCCTAATCATATTAAATACCTGAACAATTCTTTTACTTGAAGGGAAACACTTTCTAACATATTAAATACCTGAACAAGTCTGACCCAAAATATGGCGAACTTCAGGTTCAAATCCCATGTCAAGCATTCGATCTGCTTCATCAAGGACCTACAGAAAATAGCCGATCATTTTTTTTCTTTTTTGTAATAACTCAAGACGCTACAGCTACATTACTATAAAAAAAGATCAAGGGTCAAAAGGTTCTAGTAAAAGAGACCAATGTGCAAGCATAAGTGAATATTCACACAACCGATTCACAGGAAGTAGAAAATTTTACCATCAAGTACAGAAAAAATTATATCTATTGAAGGAATTTCACACTTACCCCAAAAGTTACATCTTTAAGGCAGCACACACCCATCTCAATCAGATCCTTTAAACGGCCAGGAGTTCCAATAACAATATCCTGAGTACATAAAACGTTTATAAATTAATTACAGAGAAGTACCAGATAGATGACTAATACACGTTACCACTTTAAGGAATATATAGATATGACAAACACGCAAACATGCTGATAACTCTAAGAAAATAGAGTTATCTTTTGCATTTTTAGCTTAAAGTTTGCTTAGCCAAGAGTGTATTTCATTGTTTTCTCTGTGTTTTAACTTAGATTTTCTGGTTTTGCATTTTATCTTGCTAAATTATGTACTTGTGCTGCTCTCGGGTTAAGCAGTGATTTGAGTCAAAAAGTGGTTGAAATATGCCTAAGTTGTGATTTTGCAAATTACAGGGAGAATGCTATGACTATGTTGCAGCATTCTTGCAGCATTCTGGGAACAGCTGGCATGTGGATGACATCAGCGCACTACTTAGAGAAAGCAGACAAAAAAATCCATGTGAGCTGGTTGAGCAGATGTCATTGTGGTCCACTGCACACATCATCAAGTGACACCTCAGCCTTTTTGTTGCCCTAAAGAGGAAATGCTTTCTGAAAATAAAGAGCAGCCGCCGAGTACAAAGAAGAGAAAAATAGAAGGAAAAAATAGAGAACACGCGATAGAGAGAAAAAAGACAGCACCACGGCTGAAAAGAAAAAGATACAATACACAGAGTACCCCCTCTCCAGAAAAACGCACAGTACATTACCAAGAGAGGAAAAACAAGTACCAGCAATGTGAGGTTGAGAAGAAAAAAAATCAAGAGAGAGAGCTGCAGTGAGTGAATCCGTGGAGAAGGACAAGGAGGAATCTAGAAGATCCAAGATCTAGCTCTTCAATTTTCCCTCTCTCTGTTAGCTTGAATCTTTTGTTATTTTTTATATTGATTAAGACATGGATATTCCTAGAAATCTGGTTCTTGTAATTATCATCATGAACTAATTTGTTAAGTTAGATCTACTAATGGAACCAAGGTTGTAAGGGTGATGGTTGCTTAAGGAATGTTGATTAATTATATTTTCTATTCATCTATGTGTATTTAATGTTCGTTTATGTTTTTGACTGGCCATCAAACGTAGAATACAAGACTAAGATTAATACTGAAAAGGTTAGTTTTAGTTAGATCTTACATAGATGATGCAAGTTCAATACTCTTGCTTAGTTTATTGATTTGTGAATGATATAGGAATATATTGTTCATCTTGCATAACAAATAGAAATCCAAGCTTAATTTGCATTCTGAAACTAGATCCACATAGGAATATGCTGGAAATGGTTGAGGAATTTTTAGACATAATGACTTCGGGAGAATCATATGCATAATAAAAGAGTTTCTGTTAACAGGGAATGCTATAGCATTCTCGTAGCATTCTGCCATCAAACTCGCAACTAAGGGGAAATTAGTAGATCTAACTGATTTACATCACTGCATACACTCCATTTTAGTATTCTTGATCTTTTGGTTAATCTTTTTTACAGTTTATTTTACATTTATGCATTTATAACAATTAGGTAATTTTTGAACAATCAATTTTTGTCACATAAAACGGGTAAATTAGTTGATTTCTGCATGTACACTTGGTGATTCATTCTCTGTGGGACGATATCCGTACTTTCTACACTTTATTACTTGATTGCAACACGTGCACTTACGAGCATAAAAATCACGCAACAAGTTTTTGGCGCCATTGCCGGGGACTGAAATCGTTAAGGGGTTGTTTGGTTGGGGGATTCGTACCCCGATTCGAATCATGGTTCATGGTTCGCTACAGTGTTTTCTCTCACAAAAAATACACGTAAATCGAAAATAGTTCTAATCTTATGATTCTAATCCATGAACCAAACGTCTCCTAAAAGTATTTGTAAGAGTCAATTTGTTTTTCGTTTTGTTTGATTTAGTCTCATTCATTCAGTTTTTAATTTCTCAGGTTATTATACCGTTTGCATGAATCCACCGCAAGAGTTGGAATTGCTGCCTTTAGATCCTGAAATTGAAAGAACATTCCGAGCTAGGAAAAGGGAACAACAAGGCTTAGCAGGAGTGGGAGAAATGGCAGAAGGGGCAGCAGGAAACAATGGCTAACATTCCTGTCCCCCAACCGATACTGGTAGATGACAAAAATAGGGCCATTCAAGAATATGATGTGCCCATTTTACATGGACTTAACCCCGGCATAGTGAGACCAGAGATTCAGACGCCTCATTTTGAGCTCAAGCCAGTGATGTTCCAAATGCTCCAAACCGTGGGCTAATTCAGTGGCATGGCAACTGAAGATCCTCACCTCCATCTCAAACAATTTATGGAAGTGAGTGATACTTTCAAGCTACCGGGGGTGACTGAAGATGCATTGAGGTTAAAGCTATTCCCTTATTCTTTGGGGGATAGAGCTCGAGCATGACTGAATTCTTTGCCTCCAGATTCGGTGGCGACATGGGATGATTTAGCAGAGAAGTTTCTCATGAAATGCTTCCCTCCAACCAAGAATGCCAAGCTAAGGGACGACATTACTTCTTTCCAACAAGCAGATGGGGAGTCATTGTATGAAGCATGGGAAAGATTCAAGGAGCTATTGCGGAAGTGCCCTCATCATGGGATCCCCCATTGGATTCAAATTGAGACATTCTATAATGGGCTCAATGGGCGAACAAGGACTATAGTTGATGCTGCAGCCGGTGGAGCTAGTTTGGCCAAGTCTTACAATGAAGCATATGAGATTTTAGAGAGGATGGCCAACAACAATTATCAATGGCCAACCGAGAGACTTAATGCGAGGAAGGCTACTGGAATTCATGAAGTTGATGCCATCACTGCACTCTCAGCTCAAATGTCATCCTTAACAAATATGATAAAAGAAATGAACACGCCGGCATGTGTAAATTCTGTGCAAACAGCTGGTCTCTCATGTGTTTACTGTGGAGAGGGTCATTTGTATGAAGATTGCCCTTCCAACCCAGCCTCTGCTTTCTTTGTGGGTAATTTCAACAGGAGTAGCAATCCTTATTCGAATCCTCACAACCAAGGGTTGTGAGCAACATCCAAACTTGGCTTGGAGTAATCAAGGAGTGAGTTCTAGTGGCGCTAACGCTTATCATAGACCCACATATCCACCCGGCTATCCACATCAACAACAAAGAACACAAGCGGATCAATCTAGCTCTTTGGGGAGTTTACTAAAAGAATTTATAGCGAGGAGTGAAGCCAAAATCCAAAGTCATGATGCAGCACTGAGGAATTCAGAAAATCAAATGGAAAGAACAGTGCAAAGCCATTTCATTGAGGAGTGGAAAAGAGCTGGAGCTAAAGACAAGACCCCAGGCTGTGCAAACAAAGCCCACTTCAATCCAAGAAGAGGAGAATCGAACTCAGCCACCAGAAGAGCAGTTGAAGAATCAGCAACCAAATTATGCACTGCAGAATGCTACAGCATTTCCACAGCATTCTGGAGCGGCAGAAACTAGTAAAACCAGTAGCACCAAACCACCTCCACCATTTCCTCAACGCTTTCAGAGACAGCAACAAGATGGGCAGTTTCGCAAGTTTTTGGATGTTTTGAAGCAGCTACACATCAACATACCATTGGTTGAGGCCCTAGAACAGATGCCAAACTACGCCAAATTCATGAAGGACTTAGTTACAAAAAAACACAGGCTTTGAGAGTTTGAGACAGTGACCTTGACTGAAGAATGCAATGCAATTTTGCAAAACAAACTCCCTCCCAAATTAAAGGATCCAAGAAGTTTCACTATCTCGTGCTCCATTGGAAACCAATACTTTGGTAAAACATTATGTGATTTGGGATCTAGTATAAATTTGATACCGATGTCCATTTTCAAGAAATTGGGAATCGGAGAAGCATGACCTACCACAGTGTCTTTGCAGCTCGCAGACAGATCTAATGCACTTCCCGAAGGAAAGATTGAGGAAGTACTAGTAAAAGTGGACAAGTTCATTTTTCCTGCTGACTTCATCATTCTTGACTATGAAACGGATAGAGAAGTGCCAATCATTTTGGGAAGGCCGTTTCTTGCTACAAGCCGCACCCTAATTGATGTGCAAAAAGGTGAGCTAACTATGCGAGTGCAAGATGAGCATGTGACACTTAATGTATTTAAGGCAATGGAGTTTCCAACTGAGGTGGAGGAATGTTCTGCAATATCAGTCATTAACTCTTTGGTGGCTAAGGAGCTTAAGAGCAGTAGCCATACGGACTTGTTGCAGCTATCCTCGTCATTAGATTTAGACGAGGCTGAAGATGAACCTATGGAGCAAGGTGCCAAAACAACAGCACAAGGACCTATAAGGAAATTTGAGGCACAAGAGTCGTTGGAAGAGGCTGAAAGAACACAATAAATCATTGACTTGAGCTCGTCAATCGTTCTAATATGCACACCGCCATCCGACCCATTTTGGCCATCATCATCACCGCCACCACACTGCATTCTTTATGAGCCCGAACCAAAAATGAAGTTCTCCAATCAAGCCCATCACCTTCCAAAGCCAAATCTTGTTGGTGCAACGTGCCTAAATTGTAAAAATCATGCCAAGCTTGAGGGCGTCACAATCAAAGACCCATTTGTAGTGTTGTATGACACTTACTATGGGCGGATGTCGCTCTTTAATGAACGCCTCTCTAAACATCCGGTTGAAGACATTAAAGCAAGCACTCCGTGGGAGGCAACCCAAGTTTTCTAAACCTTTTCTTGTTTTCCTTCCTCTCAAGTTTTAGTTTTTATTTTTTTTAGAACTTTTTACTTTATTTTAGTGTTTCTCTTTTGTAGGTGCAAGCGTCGAAGCTTCAGGAACGGATTCAATTCAAGAGAGCGAGCAAGCATTAAAGCCTAAGCTCTAAATTGACATAGGGGAGTTTCTTAAACCTTTCCTTGTGTTCTTGATTGCCTATACATTGAGGATATTGTGCTTGATAAGTTTGGGGGGAGAACTTTGGTTGTCTTTGTATATATCTTTGTTTGTTTTTGCATCCTTCAAAAAAAAAAAAAAAAAAAATTTTGGAGTCTTGTGTTTTCTTGATGTTTTGTGTGTTTTGTGGTAAATTCTCTTAGACCCATGATGATTCGGCTGGATTTGGGCATAGTTTTTAGAAAAACATGATTTCCACTAAGTTTTGTCCTTAACTTCTTCTTGATTGTCTTCTTCCATATTTGTGATTTTTCTTCATTTGAGCACTTAGCCTAGTGTTATTGATTCATTGGACTTCTAGAGAAAGATTGTGTAAATGTGTTTTATTCTTAGGTCTCACAAACTCTAGAACTTACTTGAATTGCATCTTGTTGAGTAACCGGGTGTCTTCATCACCAATGTTGGCACTCGCGTAAAAAGGCAAGTGAGGCATCTCTTTGTAGTTCTAAAAAAAAGGGGTAAAATAAAAATAAAAGCAGATATGGTGGACAAGGGGAAGCAAAAACTTAAGTTTGGGAGTGTTACTTGGGAATGTTATTTGAGCTTTTTGAGGTCCTAGAATTATTGATGTGCTTTAAGGGTGAATTAAGCCAAAACACCATCTCATATTCTACCTTCATCCTAGCCTATCATTTCAAGCCTAAAAAGTCCTATTGATCCTTGGTAGTGTGTTGATCTACATTAGTGGAGAGAGTGTTGAAAAGTGAGCCTATGGAGTTTGAAAATGCGCTTATAGAAATTCTTAGCCTAGAGCATGTGTGCATTATCCCATCTAGATTGACAATGATAATATTGCACTTGGTTGTTCACATACACACAAGAAAGGTCCATTTGGAGAAGACGCAATCTGTTGAAGTTAAGTTCAACACTTTGGTGGAAATTGTGTTTTTCTTTAAGCTATGTTCCTATCCTAATCCAGCTTTTGAGGGAACTTTTTCGAGAATTCATTCACAAAGCATGTGCTTCTTTTCTTTTGATTCATTGTTGTTTTTAACTTTCGTTTATGTTTTTGTTGTGTCTTGCTCGAGGACGAGCAATACTTTAAGTTTGGGAGTGTGCTAACTCTAAGAAATTAGAGTTTATCTTATGCATTTTTAGCTTAAAGTTTACTTAGCCATGAGTGTATTTCATTGTTTTCTCTGTGTTTTAACTTAGACTTTCTGGTTTTGCATTTTATCTTGCTAAATTATGTACTTGTGCTGCTCTCGGGTTAAGGAGTGATTTGAGCCAAAAAGTGGTTGAAATATGCCTAAGTTGTGATTTTGCAAATTGCAAGGAGAATGCTATGACTATGCTGCAGCATTCTGGGAACAACTAGCATGTGGATGACATCAGCGCACTACTTGGAGAAAGCATACAAAAAATCCGTGTGAGCTAGTTGAGCAGGTGTCATTGTGGTCCCCTGCACACATTATCAAGTGACACCTCAGCCCTTTTTGTTGCCCTAAAGAGGAAATACTTTCTGAAAACAAAGAGCAGCCGCCGAGTACAAAGAAGAGAAAAATAGAAGGAAAAAATAGAGAACACATGACAGAGAGAAAAAAGACGGCACCACGGTTGAAAAGAAAAAGATACAATACACAGAGTACCCCCTCTCCAAAAAAATGCACAGTACATTACCAAGAGAGGAAAAACAAGTACCAGCAACGTGACGTAGAGAAGAAAAAAATCAAGGGAGAGAGCTACAGAGAGTGAATCTGTGGAGAAGGACAAGGAGGAATCTAGAAGATCCAAGATCCAACTCTTCAATTTTCCCTCTCTCTGTTAGCTTGAATCTTTTGTTATTTTTTATATTGATTAAGACATGGATATTACTGGAAATCTGGTTCTTGTAATTATCATCATGAACTAATTTGTTAAGTTCAATCTACTAATGGAACCAAGGTTGTAAGGATAATGGTTGCTTAAGGAATGTTGATTAATTCTATTCTCTGTTCATCTATGTGTATTTAATGTTCATTTCTGTTTTTGACTGGCCATCAAACAGAGAATACAAGACTAAGATTAATACTGGAAAGATTCGTTTTAGTATCTTACATAGATGATGCAAGTTCAATACTCTTGCTTAGTTTATTGATTTGTGAATGGTATAGGAATATATTGTTCATCTTGCATAACAAATAGAAATCCGAGCTTAATTTGCATTCTGAAACTAGATTCACGTAGGAATATGCTGAAAATGGTTGAGGAATTTTTAGACATAATGGCTTCGGGAGAATCATATGCATAATAAAAGAGTTTCTGTTAACAGGGAATGCTATAGCATTCTCGTAGCATTCTGCCATCAAACTTGCAACTAAGGAGAAATTAGTAGATCTAGCTGATTTACATCACTGCATACACTCCATTTTAGTATTCTTCATCTTTTGGTTAATCTTTTTTACAGATTATTTGACATTTCTGCATTTATAACAATTGGGTAATTTTTGAACAATCAGTTTTTGTCACTTAAAACAGGTAAACTAGTTGATTTCTACATGTACACTTAGTGATTCATTCTCTGTGGGACGATATCCGTACTTTGTACACTTTATTACTTGATTGCGACACGTGCACTTGCGAGCATAAAAATCACGCAACACATGCACAATGGCGGCAGTAACAAGAAAGTTGCCTCTACACGAACTAGAGAGGAATTTCAGGAATGGGAAAAAGATAGAGCTAGGGTATAAAATTACAACAACTATTCTTGTCATGCTGAAGAAAATTTCCATGGATAGGGTCATTTCAATTGTACACTCTATAAGCACCAAGAACAAATATTATTTAGATTAGTGCCGACAATCAAACTCAACAACCATCATAGAAAATTTTCATAAGAACAGAAGAAGATTAGATTCATTGGAGAGTTGGAAATTAAATTACGTGCATATTATTAATGTTAAAAAGGACTAGATTTTCAAAAAAAGTAGAATAAACAAGATCGGCAGAAGTACCAGATTTAAGCTAAAGCTTATGTTATATCAAGCGTTGGCCAACTAAGTAGACATACAGGTCTTGAGGCCACTACAACAGAACAGAGCGCGGAAGATAAAATTGATCTTTTTCTCACCCTCTCAAATATGCATACCCTTTTTAATAGGACTTAAAGCAACATGACTATAACCATGAAAATCCCAATGGACAAACCTTCGATCCGCCCCTAGCTCTATAATCCATAAAAGGGGAGAAAAGGAACAGAAAATCTTACTACACCAGACTTCAGAGCAGATATTTGAGCCACCTTGGATGTCCCTCCATACAAGCAAACTGAAATAACCCCACAAGGTTTCCCGGCCTCACACAGAACATCTGAAATCTGCCACCACACAAGACCGATGGTTCATAAAATTTTTTCAAGAAAATAACTCTGGGGAATCGAATGATGAGAATGGAATTTTTGCACCAACCAACAGAAAATAAAACGAAGAAAACCCACATTAGAAGAAGAAGAAAAAAAAAAGAAGCAGAATACAGAAGCTTATTATAACTCCACTTTCAAGGATGCATGCGTTAAACATTTCTTTTGTAGTAAATCCTACTAAATTCTAAACATCCCCTTGCTTCCCAATGTAAATCAGTATCATCCATATTGGCAAGGAAGTCTGGAAAATCCAAAGCCATAATATATGAAGAAGAAATCAGGAAATTTATAATTTTTTCCTCCCGAGTACAAATTCAGCACATAACACATTACACACAAGTCTAATTCCACCATCAATATACGTTGGGTGCCGGACGCACAGTTAGTCGTAAGAGGTGCGGTAAGCATGGCAGAGCCCTCTAACCAAAATTTTAGGCCTTGTTCATTTTGCTAGTTCGAATCACAACTCAAATTTTTGCTATAGTATTTTCTCTCACTAAAATTCAAATTCAACTTTTTGTACTACAGCGTTTTCTCTGCACATAAATTCACTTTTCAACTTGAGTTGAAAACTCAAACCAATTAAATGAATGAGGGCTTTCTAATGGTATATCAAGGATTTTACACTTTATTTTAGGTTGCCAAATTATAATCAAAGTAAAATTCTGCAACTGTAGAAAATGGAGATCGTAAAACACTAATCTTGTGTGTTTTTCGGTTTTCTACATTTCCCAATGTCCAAGCAAAACATTTATATAAACGAGCAAAATCACATACTTGCTGAGCTAGCTCCCTCGTAGGCGAGAGCACAAGGCAAAGAGGATTCCTTCCTTTGGAGAACGTCCCCTTCCTCTTCTTCAATATATGCATAATCCCCGGCACCCCAAAAGCCAAAGTCTTGCCTAAACACCCAAACAACAACAACACAAAAAGTGTATAAATATATATATATATATATATATATAAATCAACCAAAACAACCCAACATTAGGCAACTATTTGTAAAAATGACTTAACAAGAAAGTTTTATTAGTGAAATAACTTATCAAAAATTTGTATTCGCAACTACGGAACCACCAATAACGACCAAATTTTACAAAGAATGACTGTCATTTTCAATTCGTTGGATAGTCAATCTAGCAAATTTCACAACCGCCACACCCAATCGAGAAAACTCACCTGACCCAGTTGCCGCAATCCCGATAAAATCCCGACCGTCCAACAAAAAGGGCCACGCCCGGGACTGTATCGGCGACGGGCTCTCGAAATTCCGGCAACACTGAAGAACATCGCTCGGGAGCTTTGACTCGGCGAAGGACTTCAGTGGCGCGTACTTGGCGTCTTTCACGTCCTTCCCCGTCACCGCCACATGCCCATCTTCGTGGATTCCGCTCTGTTCATTTTTCCCATTCTCTTCCAAACCCTCGTCCTCGTTCTTGTTCTCCTTCTCCTTCTTCTTCTTGTTCTTCTTCTTCCTCTCTTTCGAATCGGAGAATTCCTCGGTTTTTTCGAGTTCTTCGATCTTTCTCTTGGGACTGTGTATGGTGTTTTCTGGGTCTTTGTTTTTGTTCTTCTTCTTCTTCTTCTTCTTTTTCTCGGAGTTGAGTTCTGGGTCGTTGGGGATTTCTGGGTCGCTCGGAGGAGTCGCTTCTTTGAGCTTCCGACCCATTGTTGGAGCTCAACTGCGGAAAAATGAGGAAAGACGAAGGAAGAGGAGGGGTTTTTTCGTAGGGTTTTGCTTTTGGTAGTTGAGATTTTTTTTTTTTTAGTCGTTCATTTCTTTTGTGAGAAAATTGCATCAACATCCCTATAGTTTTACTAATACTACATGGATTCCTTAGAGACGAAGTTAATTTCAATAACAACCCTTTGTATCTAAAATTTTTGTATTAACGCCCCATTTGTTGGTTAAAGGTATGTTTATTTCCACAATTATAAATTAAAAACTTAAATTATGTATGTAAAAAAAATACTATAAAATAAAAATATATGGCTTCTTTTACTAGTGACCCCGATCATAGGGCACAAGTGGAGCACCTTTTAAGGAGTTGTTATATTAGAATTAGAAATACATGTTTCAATATTGTTTTTTAAAATTTGATATTAAAATGTGAATTTTATTTTTGAATATTTTTTCATTTGAGGGCATGTTACGTGGACAAGTGGCTCAATTGTATTTGTAGGACCTACTACTATTTTCAAACTTCCAAACATAAAATCCGACCAAATCGACCTACAAAATTCAAGAAAATCATCACCCATAAGCTATACTCGAAGTAGGTAACCTCAAAACAACATTTTCTTGAGCTAAAACGGATTTAAATTTTGGATTTTTTTTTGGTCTGTTGAAACAACATGTCGTTTGGGGCGTGTAGGAAACGACATGTCATTTCACTAGACATCCCCAATTTGCCTTGCAAACGACATGTCGTTTTTCACAGGAATAGAAAAATGACATGTCATTTTCTTCTTTCCTGTCCTTAGAAAATTGCAGAACATACTCAAATCGGGTCCCTGACCCGACTCGCTAGAAAAATGAGCTCCAGTGTCCGTTTTCGATGTTTTTAGATGGGTTTTGCTCCAAATTTCATTCTCTTTAGTTTTCAACCATCAATATCACTCAAAAACTCATAAATAACAAAACCCATCAAATGCAAGAACATGCACAGCAAACCCAAAACACGAAAAAAAAAAAAAAAAAACTACAGCCTCAAATCCAATGAGATGAGCTTTGATACCAATTGCTAGAATTTAAGGATCTAAAGACAATAATCCAGCCAATATACATTATCAAATTGGATTTTGAAGCATATATAATGGTTTTAGGATTACCTCCATTTGGCGTAAGAACGACGTTGTTCATGGTGGCCGGAATCCATTCTTGCTCGGCCGGAGTTGAAGCTTCAATGATCTAACAAAATCAAAGGAGCTTGGAGGGTTTTGAACAAAAAACGTGGATAGAGAGGAAATTTGACCCAATGGGCTGATCAAATATTTAGAGAGAGTGAGTCCAAATGCCTCAAGCAAGTTAATAAAACAAGTGTACATCCCATAATAAATTGATATTTAATATACATATATGTATTAATTATCCATAAAATACTTTAATTAATTACAAAATAAATTATTATAATTATAAAAGTCCACATAAAAATATTCTAAAATTGTATTTGTAGGACCTACTACTATTTCATTAAGAAAGAACCGATTACTCATCTAAGGAGGCTGCCTACGTGGAGAGCGTTCTGAATATTTTATTATTGTGGGATCCACCAAATAATTAAAAAAATAAAAATTTTGCTTCATCGCTTCATCTTTCTCTACAATCATCTTCACCATTTCACTATGATGAACCCAATAGAAAAAACATACTTGTATAACTTGTAAAGTCAGTACCATTGTTGTTAAAAGGTATTCTTTTTTTTTTCTGAAAGAGTTCAAAGGAGTGTGTTTTTTTTTTCTGGTACACAGCATCTATCCAAAACTGTACAAATCAATGAGCACGAGGAAAAAAAAAAAAAATCAACGCAACACCTATCAACCTCCGTTTGGGTGTGGTGGTCGTCATGGGCTGGGTTGGCGTCGCAGGCTAGGTGGTCGTCACAAGGGGTGGGTTGATGTCACGGGCCGATTGGGTGGCGGGGACAGTGACAGAGCCAGAATTTGAATTCAGTGGGGAGCACAAATAAAAAAAATTATTAATTAAACCATATGATAAAAATTTTGAGGCAAACTTGATCCCGTTCACTTTACCGATTCGAGTTTTACTACAGTAAAAAGCTCTCAGAAACAGTCACATCTAATTTTTTTGCTACAGTAAAAAATTCTCACATAAAGTCACATCTCAACTCAAATTAAAAACTTGAATCAGCGAACTAAACGGGCCTAACTTATCTTTTTTTTTGCTCTTATTTTATATTTTCTAATTAGCAATAATATTTTTTTAAGGGAGTGATAACTTTATTGAGTATTATGCACGCAAATTTGTGTATATGACAAATAAATAAATAAGTAAAACATTAAAATAATATAATCACTTAAAGATTAAACAGTTCATAAATTTTCATATTATTTTAGAGAGCAATAAAATTTTGATATAAAACTATTGGAAATAACAAAGGAGAAAAAAATATAAATGAGAAAAACAGATAGGGTAATCACTATTAAAACGAGAAAAAAAAATTGTAGAGTTTTTTCAACTAAAATGAAAAAAAAATTATAAAATATACTAACATGAATAAGTGAGGAAGAGGACCTCTCTGTAGCAAAAAAGAAGTGGGCCTCCCCTCATACAAGAGTTAAAGCCCAAATCTTTAGGAAAAAAAAAACCCAAGACAAAATAGAGAGTTTTACTTGATCAATGGGCACATTCTTTAAAATTAGGGTAGATAATAGTGTTTTGGACAACAAGTATATGATTTTGTTTCTCTTCAGTGGGGGGCACGTGCCCCCACTGAGCACAAGGTGGATTCGTGTATGGGTGGTGGAGTATATGGGTGTGGCATAGAGATGTTAACTGGGCCAGGTCGTCTATAGACAACCCCGTTTAACCCGCTACAATACAATATTCGACCCGATCCAGCTTGTATTATTGTGGGCCGAGCTAGCCTAGCACGCCAGAAGGGCCAAGGCTGGGCCTCATCTATGAAGCCTGTTGTACGGGCATGGCCCTAGCCCTTAATGGGCCCAGCACGGCCCAGGCCCGTGAAGCAATTCGGCCACTAGTCATTTTCTTATAATGATTCATATTATTTCAATAAAATCATATATTTTTAAGGCATGTGATATTACTTCTTTATTTCTTTATTTTTATCATTAAATTTGAAATATGAAGAAATAATTAAAAAAAAATTAATTTTTAAAATGGGTCGGCTACTAAAGGCCCTAAAGGACTGGCCCGTACGAAGGCCCTACAGGGCCGGGTGTAGTAGCTTGACCTTGGCCCTAGAGGACAAGGGCCAGGGCCGAGCCCTTGTAGATCATGGACAAGGTTCAAAAAGGCCCACCTAGCACGACACTTTTGACACCTAGACTGTGGCGAGGTCTCACTTATTATGGGGGTGTTGTGGCTGTCACGGATTGGGTTGTCGTCAGTGATAGTTGGGCCAAGTGGGTGGACTGATCATGGGAGGGGGCTAGTAGCCTAGTAATTTGATCTAGGCTTTTTTCCCTTAGATGAAAGAAGATTTTGAATGGATGGTTAGAATTGGGTTTCTATTGATATCAATGGCTAATATTTAAAGACTATTGTACATGTGGGCTCATTGTATGAATAGGTCTCGTTCATTTCACCGATTTAAATTTGAAATTCGAGTTTTGTTACAGTAAAAAGCTCTCAGAAACAGTCACATCTAACTTTTTTACTACAGTAAAAAACTCTCACATAAAGTCATATCTTAACTCGAATTAATGAACTAAACAGATCCCTCACATCAAACCAATAGACTGCTTAGTCAACGACCATTTTACTTGGGGCTGGTAATTTGATCTAGGGTTTTTCTTCCCTCGTATGAAAGAAGATTTTGGATGGATGGTTGAGATTCGGTATATTTATCAATGGCTACTATTTGAAGGCCATTGTACATATGGGCTCATTGTACGAATAATAAATCCTCACTTTAAACCAATAGACCACCTAGTCAACAACCATTTTACTTGCTCCATCGGTAGAGCAAAAACAGGGGTCTCACTGTAAAGATTCCCAGAGATAAGATGCGGCAAATGGATGTGTTCGAGATTCTTTTGAGTATATCTATCACATGTAACATTTAAAGGATTGTAATTTCGCACACAATCATAGATATAATGTAATGCTAGTTTATGCTTGCAATGACTTCTTTTCACACAAAAGAATATGGCTTTTCGGGAACCAAAGGAAAATGGACACAAAAGAAAGCTCCTCCAAAGTCCAAACAAACACACGTGGACAAATTTAATTACAAAATATATTATATCTATTAGCATCCTCAGTTAACTTAGGAAACGTTTGGTTCATAGATTAGAATCATATGATTAGAACCGTTTTTTATTTACGTGTATTTTTTGTGAGAGAAAATACTGTAGTGAATCATGAACCATGATTCAAATCATGGTTTAAATCTTCCAACCAAACGTCCCTTTAATCAACGCGGATGCTGTTAATTACAAAGGGATACATAGTTGTTAATAAGTTAATTAAAGTTCGTTTTCAAGTCTAAATTAATGTTAAGGACACGTGTAATGTTTTAAACAAAAATTTCTTTGGTGACTATCCAATAACGGAACTCAATACGTAATTGAACAAAAATACAATAATAAATTAAGATACACGGTTTTTAGATTCCATAACTAATTCATTTCTCATCATGCTAATAAAAATAATTTGTTTCATCCAATAATTAAGAGCTCCTTATGATATTATGCGACGTATAAATCTCAACACTTTTTTGGTCCTACCCAGTACAGATCTGAGGTGAAAACAAAAATGACTAAGTAGACTTCATGATCTGTATGCTGATCTTCTTCGGCTTTTTAGAGCATTCATGTAATTAATTTTTGTGCTAATTTAACTTTCTTTTTTTGTTTTTTTTCCCTTTTTCTCCATATACAAAGAGAGATCAAATTATCAATTAAGCTAGATAATCATAATTTAATTGAGCAATCGTAATCAAATTATTTTTTTCTTGTTTAATTGTTGAATTTTTCGTTGCCAGAATCAGCAATTAGAGAAGTTCGTATGCCTATTTGGGGACCATGTTTAAGG